AAAAGAAAAAACAGAAAAACATTTTTAATATTAATAATTTATTACTATGCGATAAGTCAAATTTATTTTTTGTGTAGTCTTCTGCCCCCTGTTATCAGGTGTATCTGATTGTGTACAATAGGATTTTGAGCAAAGTTTTTACCTTTAAATTAAGCAAAAGGTGTCAGACGCAAAACATTTCAGAAACCGTATGAATCAAATATGATACATTTAGCATTACAGGGTTATCTTTATTCGACCCTTTACAAAATATATGACAAAAAACAGAAATTATTTTTAAATATTCGTCATTTATTACCTTCTGCTAAGTCAGAATGATTGTGAATACTCTTCTTCCAGCTATACCTGATTTTGTAAAACAAGGTTTTGAACAAAGTTTTTTACCATTAAATGATGCAAAAGGTGTCAGACGCAAAACATTTCAGAAACCGTATGAATCAAATATGACACATTTGACATTACAGGGTTATCTTTATTCGACCCTTTACAAAATATATGACAAAAAACAGAAATTATTTTTGAATATTCGTCATTTATTACCTTCTGCTAAGTCAGAATGACTGTGAATAGTCTTCTGCTTGCTGTTATCAGCTATACCTGATAGTGTAAAACAAGGTTTTAAACAAAGTTTTTTACCATGAAACGATGAAAAAGTTCTCAGAAGCAAAATTTTCCAGAAATCATACGCATCAAATACGATACATACGGCATTATAGGGTTATCTTTATTCGACCCTTGACAAAATATGTGAGAAAAAACAGAAATTATTGTTGAATATTCGTCATTTATTACCTTCTGCTAAGTCAGAATGATTGTGAATAGTCTTTTGCCTGCTTTTACCAGCTATACCTGATGGTGTAAAACAAAGTTTTGAACAAAGTTTTTATTGTGAAATGATGCAAAAGTTCTCAGATGCTAAATTTTTCAGGAATCGTACGCATCAAATATGACACATACGGCATTGTAGTGGTAAAGTTGTTGTTTAAATTTTTGTTTCCAATTTTACCATTTCCTTGTTTGTTTTCCTCAACAACCTTTCCCACCTTGGGTGTCCAATACTGTGGTCTGACGCGTGAAATTAAGTCCAGGAGATGGTTATTGTGTGTCTTTTGATGGTTTATTGTAACAAATTAAACTTGAGTATAACAAAAGATCAGTCCAAGTTTGCAGTGCCAAATCACGGTCAATCAGCCTTTTATAGGCGCAGTTCCCGCCTTCACCTATAGGTGGAAACATGGAAACAAACTGGCATAGAAATGAAGATATGTAGAAATTAATGTTGTCAAATAACTAAAATAAACAAATGGCTCCTACAGGCATTATAGGGTTAAAGCCGGAAAACAGCAGCCGTCTCCTCCGCCTGCCCCATTTCTACGGCCTGTAATCACATTCCAGAGCGTTTCTCGGGCTAAATTGAATTATAATTGGCAGACAATGGGCGTGACATCTCAATTCTCATATAGCCGCTCGGCTAAATTGATCCTAAAGTGACTCCGCTTACTGATGAGCCCGCAGCGTTAATGAAAGAACACAAGCGGGAGCTGGGGACGTATAGGAAAAAGGGAGGTGTGCTATCGGAAAATTAATTGGCCTTTTGGACCAGTGCCCTGAGTAATTATTGCATGTGACAGCAGCAGAAGGATGTTGGCTCCTCTGTGTTTTACCTGAGTGATTTTCTTCTATTAGAGGAAGAAAACACACAAACAACAGTGAAAAAAAAAGAAAAAGTCCGGATTAATGGCACAAGGGAAGCCGATTTTCAGCAGCCGGATTATGTTTTCTGTCACTTCTACGTGGGGATGTGGAGAATTATTTGCCAAGGAATTTCTATCTCTGTGGGAATATCCTGTTTAGGGGTGGAAATCCCACTTATTGAGTGTCTTCTCAAACAATCCAACACAACTGAGAAGTAAAAAAACATGGAGGGAAATGGTAAAAAATGGAAATTGTTGTACTCTTTGCATGTTTGAAAAACAAGACTCTGCATATTGGATTGAAAAAAAATCATGTGAACTCACAAAGTTTCAAAATATCATTATATTGTTATTTTATTTTACTGATTATATCGTTATTTTTTTCATAAAGCAGGTCTAAAACCAGCAAGTTGGCCAAACTGCTTCATGGGTTCAATTAAAATCAAGGGATGCTGCATAATCATTCTTCATTTGAGAGAATAAGTCGATAAAAGACAAATAATAGACAAATAATCTTTATCCTGACTTCCTGTTTCCAGATGTTTGTCTCCGAAATCTGAAGAAATTAGCATTTTTAACCAATCCTGCTAGCTTCTTTTATATAAACTGACCATCTCAGAACAGACACCTGATGTTCTTTTGTTTTACTAGCTGCTTCCTGGCATCTTCTGCTAGCTTAAAGCTACCCTGCTAAACTATATCTATCTTTGGTTTTGAAGAGAACTCTGCGCTGCCCCCTTGTGGCCGCTTTCAAGCCAGCGCAAACCAGCATTTTCTTCTTTTTGTTACTTTTTGCGTGTTTGAGTGATGATTCCTGTCATCAGAGGTTTATTTTTCTGACTAAAAAAACATTCGTATGCTAACAGAGAGGTCAGAGGTCAAAGGTCAGGCTCTGTTTATGCTGGGCAAACAACAGAATCTGTCTCTGAAACGGGATGCTGGTGGTCATAATGATACGGCTGATTGCGAAACGCTCGATAGGAAACACATGTTCCCGTATTAAAGCCTCGCGCGGGCGCTTTTCTTTCCCCGTTATCTGCCTGGTTCGACACAGAAAACCCCCTAATTGGATCAGTCGGGCCGAATAAAAGAGCTGTCAACGCGTCCCTGTCCCGGGGGAAAATACGGAAAACCCGCTCCCCGTCATATCCGACGGCCTCTTATTTCCTCCCGGAGATGAGAGGGGTGTTAGCGGGCTAACGGCGCGCTAACGGCGTGCTAGGCGAGCGGCTGGGTTGTTTTTCTCTCTATGAATCATCACTGTTGGAGCTATTTATTCTTTATTTCTTTATTCATTTGAATTTTGTTAGTTAATTCTTAAATGTATATATTTTGTATTATTTACAGTATTTATTTGCAGGTTAATAATTGTTGATTCTATTTAATTTCTTGTCTTATTATTTTTCTTATTCATTCTTTGAGTTAGATAGGAAGTGGGTCATGTGGGTCAGTCCACTTTTCTATAAGTATAGGGGCCTGGTAAAGGACCAGCAAGGCATTTGGGTTTGGGGCCTATGGTTTTTACCAGAGAAAGAGAACAGAGCAAAAGAACAGAGCAAAAGAACAGAGCAAAAGAACAGAGCAAGAGAACAGAGCAAGAGAACAGAGCAAGAGAACAGAATGAGAACAAAGGAAAGTTTGAACTCTGTAATTGTTGCTAGAAAGAACCAATAAACCTTCAAGAATAATCAACAAGTTTGGATGTGAAATCTTTCGCCTGCGTACAGAAACTGGACCCCAGTGCCTCTTAGTGGCTTGAGGAACTCTTATTGGATGTTTGGTTTGACAAACAATCGCCACTATAATCACAAATCGGGTGCCTGATCAGGCCGGGTTGGAGACGGATTGCCGGGTTGCTCTAATTAGCTTTGTGGGGAATCATTAGGACGGTGTTCTCTCTCCTTGCCCTGATTCGCCGAGCGGGAACCGAGTGAACGATGCTTTCCCTTAGAGTAATCACTGGTCTCTGAGCTCCCCCCCCCTCAGTGTCCTCCACCTCTCCTCATCTCTCCCCGGATGGCTCGGCTCTAATTAAGCCTGCACATCTGCAGAGGCGTTGACCCCGCTGGCGGTGTGGAAGGAAAGTGTTTAAGTTCGGGTTAAAAACTCTCTTTGTTTTCACACAAACAGAAGAAACTCAAAAGCTTTTAGTGTCATTCAGTTGGGTTAAAACAGTAGAATAAAGCATACTGAGGCATTAAGCAGCCGGGAATCCAGATGTTTGGGTTGAAAATGTGAAGAAATTAGCATTTTTAACCGATACTTAAAGGCAAAATCCATAAACCGACCGTCTCAGAACAGATATCTGATGTTTTTTTTGTTTTATTAGCTGCTTCCTGGCATCTTCTGCTAGCTAAATAGGTCCAAACGCTTTGGGCTGAAGGTTCTCACTCCTCCAGAAACATATTTTTAACCAATACTTAAAGGGATAATCCTGCTTGCTTCTTTTATATAAACCGACCATCTCAGAACAGATATCTGATGCTCTTTTGTTTTATCAGCTTCTTCCTGGCATCTTCTGCTAGCTTAAAGCTCCCCCTCGTAAACTATTTCCCTCTGGTTTTAATCAGAGGAGTCAGAAGCCTCAGGGCACAGTTTTGTTTCCGAAACAGGAAGTAAAGGAGCCCATCGTTCAGGCTTTGTCCAGGAAACATGGCCGCCATTTTGAAATCCGCCATATTGGATCGAGTCCATGTTTTTCCGATGGAAAGGTGGTCGTGTAGCACCTCAAAGAAGAGGAGAATCATCCCAGAGAGCATTTTCTGCGTCAGATCAGCCACATTTCTTGTGCATAACTCAGAAAGTTGCCTCTGATGTGCAGCTTTTTGAGGTGTTCAGCTCCAGAAACCTCCTCAGCCTCAATCCTCACCCTGAAAACAGACTCTTATCGAGGGACAAGGTGCTGAAACCAGCAGGAATTCAGAACCCAACCTGTCGTTGATCTCAGTCAGGGATCAGAAAAATGTGTAAAATGGTTAAAAACATCTCACCTTGACTTGGTTTTATCTCAACCCAGAGCACAGAGACCAACTCAAATCCTAAAATCTCATGATCTCTCATTATATTCCCAATTTATCTCTCCAAAGGGGCCAAAATCTCTTTAACTAGCCTCAAATATTATGTTAAAAACAGCCCATTCATGTCTTTGGTACAAGTTGGCTTTACCAGCGGGGACACTTTGAATTTCACGGCCTGATTATTATTATTATTATCGAGTTATTCTCAGGGTTTTTCTCAGCTTTTCCATCCCTGTCATCATTAAATGGTGAGTTCTGTCCCCTGAACTGACAGATCCTGCTCCTCAGAAATCTTCTGTCTGGTCGGGGGCTTCAGACCGGAGCTGTCGGCCCCACTTAGCGGAGCCCTAATGGGAGGCTGTTGCCGTGACAACGGGAGAGGGGATTAGGAAGGAGTTAAGTCATCTGCGCGGCGTCCGTGTTTAATAAAAAACCCTGTTTCACTTAACGAGTAAACAGGGAGGCTCCGTCTGAGGCCGTTTGTCAAATCGCTTCTCGGCCAAAAAGATTGTCGGATTTGTTGACGTGATTGGACCAACCGTCTCAGAACAGATATCTGATGTTGTTTTGTTTTATTAGCTGCTTCCTGGCATCTTCTGCTAGCTTAAAGCTACCCTGCTTAACTATTTCCCTCTGGTTTTAATCGAGGAGTCAGCCTATGTTTCAGGCTTTGTCCAGGAAACATGGCCGCCATCTTGAAATCCGCCATATTGGATCGAGGGCATGTTTTTCCAAAGGAAAGGTGGTCGTGTAGCACCTCAAAGAAGAGCAGAATCATCAAGATTGTCGGATTTGTTGATGTGATTGGACCAACCGTCTCAGAACAGATATCTGATGTTTTTTTGTTTTATTAGCTGCTTCTTGGCATCTTCTGCTAGCTTACAGCTACCCTGCTAAACAATTTCCCTCCGGTTTTAATCGAGGAGTCAGCCTATGTTTCAGGCTTTGTCCAGGAAACATGGCCGCCATCTTGATATCCGCCATATTGGATCGAGGGCATTTTTTCCAAAGGAAAAGTGGTCGTGTAGCACCTCAAAGAAGAGGAGAATCATCAAGATTGTCGGATTTGTAGACGTGATTGGAGTTTTTCTGGCCCAGTTTGTGATTGTTGGTGGAGAAACGGGTGTCGGTCTGTGGGTTGGAGAAGCTGACGGTCTCCTGGACCTAAAAGAAACTCAGAGGCAAAAGGAGGGAGAAAAGTTTTGGGTGGAACAAGTCGAAGGAGAACTTTGAAATGGGTTTTAACACCACATGAGTCCAACAGGATCCCAGCTCTGATTGGATGGATGGATGGATGGATGGATGGATGGATGGATGGATGGATGGATGGATGGATTGGTGGATGGATAGATGGATGGATAAGTGGATGGATGGATGGATGGATGGATGGATAACTGGATGGATGGATGGATGGATGGATGGATAAATGGATGGATGGATGGATGGATGGATGGATGAGTGGATAGATTGATGGATGGATGAGTGGATGGATTGATGGATGGATGGATAAGTGGATGGATGGATAAATGGATGGATAGATGGACGGACGGCTGGTGTTGAGGTAATCGTGGACAAAGAGAAAAAGCTCTCTTTAATTCAAAGTCACCCGTGTAGGTCTGGGGTTCAAATCCCAGAATGGTTATCTGTTGGAGGCCAGTCGATGGATGGATAGATGAATGGATGTATGTATGTATGTATGTATGTATGTATGTATGTATGTATGTATG